GAGAGAGAGAGAGAGAGAGAGAGAGAGAGAGAGAGAGAGAGATCTGCTCTCTCTACCCCATTAAGTAATCCAAGATTATTGACTTTTTCCTGGGCACATCCCTAAGGATGAGGTTCTAAAAGATCATGCCAATGCAAAAGCAGATTCGGGCTGGCCAGAGGACCAGGTTCAGGTTTGTTTCAATATTGGGGATTACAGTGGTTATGTTGGTCTTGGTGTCAAATGCTCCAAGGAGGTAGCCACTGCCATCTGAGGAAACATCATCTTAACAAAGCTATCCATTGTCCCTGTGCAGAGAAGCTACTGGGGGAACAAGATTGTCAAAGCCCCACACTGTTCCATGCAAAGTGATAGGCCACTGTGGCTCTGTGTTGGTGCGTCTCGTCCCTGCCCCCAGAGACACTGGCATTGACTCTGCTCCTGCGCCCAAGTAGCTACTGATGATTGCCAGTGTTGATGACTGATACACATCAGCCAGGGGCTACACTGCCACCCTAGGCAACTTTGCCAAGGCCACCTTTGATGCCATCTCCAAGACCTACAGCTACCTGACGCCACCCTCTGGAAAGAGACTGTGTTCACCAAGTCTCCTTATCAGGAATTCACTGAGAATCTTGTGAAAGCCCACACCACAGTCTGTTCAGAGAACCCAGGCTCCAGCTGGGTTTTTTGTTGTTGGATTTTTGTTTTGTTGTTGTTTTGAGACAGGGTTTCTCTGCAATAATGGTTTTTATACAAGAAAAATAAAGTAAATTAAGTCTGTTTTTTTGTCTAAATATGACTGCACCAGCAGTAATTCTATAGAACTTAATACAAGTGGCAGTTAGCTTATTGCTTTTATCAGAAAAAAAATCCTCAGATGGCAGCTAAGAAAAGTTTGTTCAGTTTTCTTCACAAGAACTTCAGAACACACTACAATGGGAAAAATCATATTATTAATGGAATGAAGCTTTATGTACAAGCTCAGAGACCAAAGGTTTTGCAAGATCAAATATGTCTGTGAAGAGAGATTTCTGAGTCTGAAACTACCCATTAAATAAATGTAACTGAGAATAAATTTTAAAATTTATGATCTCAACTTTACTTTGAATTGGTATGTGCACATGATTGCAAGTGATTCCAAAGTCCAGATGACAGCATGAGATCCCCTGTAAACTGGAGTTACATGCCAGGTGTATATGCTCTTAATCACTAAACCATCTCTCTCTCACACACACAACCATCTGCCAGATAAATACATATTTAACAAATTATTGTTGTTATAATTATTAGTTTGGCTTTTGAGACGGTTTTTCTGTGTCAACAGCCCTGGCTGTCCTGGAACTCACTCAGTAGTCCAGGCTGTCCTCGAACTCAGAGATCCACCTGTGTGCACCACAACTAGCAAAAGTCTCATTTAAAAAAAAGTAAACAAAACAAACAATAATAAAATAAACAAAATTATTTTGTGCGTTTGAAAGACAGAAGCATGTATGGCAGTAACAGAACCACCTGCACACAAATCACCTTTCTTTGTAAAGATTTATTTTTATTTTATGTGCATGAGTGTTTGCCTGCATGTTTGTATGTGCAACAGATGCATCCAATATGGGCAGAGGCCAAAAGAAGGGTATCAAACCCCCTGGAATTGTAGTTACAGGAGGTTTTTAGTTGCTGAATGGCTGATGGGAAATCGAACAAGAGATCTCTGCAAAAGTTGTAAGACCTCTTAACCACCGAGCCATCTCTTCAACCCCCACATCACCTTTAATTCAATATTTGTTTACTGTCGAGTGGCATCCTTTCTACACCTTCCCACCACCCACTTTTTCCCCCAGGAGGTAACCACACAACAAAGTACTTGTTTCTCAGTACGCCAAAAGCGCTGACTCAGGAAGTCAGGTCTCACGTGGTAGGGCCAGCTCGTCGCTCCCAGAAACGTCACATCCTGGGGGAACCCGATCAGAGATGAGGGCCTCAGTGAGAGGGCGGAGTCCTAGTACGCGGGTGGGGCCTCCGTGGGGCGGAGCCTGTGGGGGCGGG